CTGGAGACCACAGTATTTGCATCTGAATTATATTGATAATTGCCTTTTTCCTTCTCCCATAGCATGCAGAATACCTTCCAACATATATGGGAAAACATTTTTAAGGGAAAAAAAATGATAAGATGGCCAGGTGGGAGCCTAAACATCCTCAAGGCTCAGTGCATTAGTAGCAAGTTCCCAAACAGAGATTTCACACTGAAAATCCGTGATAGCCTAGCAATGGTGTAAGCCAACCCTGGTGTCTAAAGCCCTGGATTGTGCAACTCAGATTGAGGGAGTAGCAGTAGCTTCCTTGTTGAGAAGGTCAGGAGACTGAAACAGATACTCTAAAATGGGGCAATATGCCCCACCCATGCTGCTAAGGAGGACACTCAGCCAAGATAAGCCCTTTACTTTAACCCTGTACCCCCTGTCAGTTAAGAGAATATGAGTGCCCACAGCAAAAGATCAAACCAGGTCCAATGAGAACTGAGCAGATCTCCCAGAGATAAAGGAAGGAGGTCAGGCCAGGCCAAGAGGAGCACTTTAGAACTTAGCTGCACACTCAGGATCTGGATTCAGATCTCTAGCTTTCCTAGCCTGGCCAGAGGGTATATGAGCTGAATGAGGAAAAGGCAAGTGACTATATCAGTCCTGGCGAGTGTGTTTTTAAGGCACCTAAAGAGAAGTCCTTAAGAATTCCATAGGTCATTATATTTCTTGAAGGTCACAGTCTGTCAAGAGGAAATGGAAATTTACAAAAACTGAAAAATTGACTTCTTAAGAGTTAGCTTAATGCACAGCAGCTGACACCTGATTTAGGCACTTAACACGTATGCAAATCACACTGTGTGCATAATTAAGTAAAATAGTGTAATTATCATTAAAACAGGAAAAATACCAAACTTTAACTTTCTAAAGCAAATGCTATCAGTGAGTTTTAAATTTGTTTCCTTTCTTCTGGATATAAAATATTGAAATGTTTGTCAATTTATTATCCAAAAGGTACATTTCTGATAAATCAAAACACTTAAGGAAATTATTATTAGCACTGTAATATGAACAAATGCCTTGCCTCCTGGCTGTAACCTTTGTAAGCTAGCATTTATCATTCACATCACATGAAATAGCCACAAACCTAATTTTGCTAGTGCCAACATTGATACAGTGTGGAAAGTTTGTTATTATAAATGTTTGTGTCATTTTTGTAATTATGGGGACAGGACGATTAGTTGACAAGGCTTGTGTTCCCCCAAAGGAACAAAATGAAGAAGGACATTAGGACACAGAATAAACTTGTGTGCTGATAAACTCACAGAAAAAGAAAGCTTGTAGAAGCCAGGAAACAAAACAGTTCAAGAAAAGTTGGCAGAGCAATCTGACCCATCAATCTGTTTCATTCCCTGGCTGTCCACCTCACAGGCCAATGTCTTAGGAAGCCACCCTTTTAATACTACTTAGCCCCCTGTTTTAGATGTCCTCATGAAAAAGGAATAAGTATAAAAACTAAGCTAATATGAATTCTATAAAGCATAGAAGTGCTTAGAAATTCTGAAAATTCAATTCAGTGTATTTGCACTTTGCTAGGGCTCATACCCACATTCGTATTTATACTTTTATAAATGTGTTCTTAGCTAACATCCTCTTTTTCTCTTTTATCCTGCTCCTTCCCTGCATTCAAACCCACTTTACTCCCCTCTTAGGAACCCTTATTATAAAACATGAGTTCTTTCCTATGCTTTGCAAACGCATGCATGTGCTTTGTCTCAAGTTTTGACACTGAAAAATATTGGCATAAACATCTTCAAAATTATTTTTCTTTACTAGAACTGTAATTGTATGGGATAAATTTCAGGACTAATAAGATTATTGAGAGAAAAGATGGTTTTGTCTTGTGTTGTTTTGTTCTTTATTGTGGGTCTACTTTCCTAAAAGTCTGGAACAATTGGCATTTGCTTCAGCCTTCTGTGAACATACTTGTTCTGACATCCTGCCCATACCGGTTATGTTTCTTTGTAATCTTTTCTCATCTGTCTGTGGTAAAAAAAAACAAAAAAAAAAAAAAAAAAAAAAAAAAAAAAAAAAAAAAAAAAAAAAAAACGATTGTTGTTGCAGCATTTCCCCCTTGTGGAGCTGCCTTTGATGCTGATTTACCTTATTAATTTGTTCGTCTTGATCTTTTCATCTGTATCTTTTGTCTATTTTCGTGTTGGTCTGCACATTTGTAGGCTTTTGTCAGCACTGTGTTTACATGAACAGTCCATTATTTGTCAGTGGAGTTAGTTGTAAAATACAGCTTTCTAAGTTTGTCTTGTGCCTTTTGATTTTATTACCACACAAAGGCGTTTCTCTTTTATTTTAATGGTGCTGGGGATTGAACCCAGAGCCTCACATGTGCTAGTCCAGTCTTGAATCCCTAGACTACTCATATCTCAGTTCTTTAGCTACTTAAGATGCACAAATACATATCCTTTCTGACTTCTGAATTTTGATTAAGGTATTTATAGCCCTAAGTGCTTCATGAATTCACCTAGATTTTCTTCCCAGAGTTTTATTGGTTGTCTTATTTACATTTATCTTTGGAGCATTGGATATTTGCTTTTATATGTGATGACAAGTCAGTGACCCAGTTAATAAAACCATAGTGAGCACCCACTGTCCACTCAGCCCAATGCCTGCCAGCTAATGTGGATGCAAGCCTCCAGACAGCTCCAAATCCCTGTCCCATGCTGACCACCTGGGCAAAGTCAGGAGTCTGTCAGGGGCATTTCAAAACTTGAACAAGCATCCCTACTGCCCACATCTCTTAAGCCCATTATATAAAAATCTTCATGAACAAAGATCCTGAATATCAAGGGTTGGGAGATAACTCAGGAGATATATGTTTCTCCTCCAAGCATGGGGACCAAGGTGTGTATTCCTCAGAGCCCATATAAAAGCCAGTCAAACATGTGACCACTAGAAAAGCACTAAGGAAGCAGGGGTAGAAGATCCCAGGGGAAAGCTGGCTACCTAGACTATCAATAATTGTCAAACCCCTGGTTCATCAAGAAACCCTGGCTCAATATGTAAGTGGTGAACAATCAAGGAAGGTGTCCATTGTTGTCTTCAGGCCTACAAACACACACACACACACACACACACACACACACACACACACACACACACACACACCAGGAGGGAGGGAGAGGGGGAAAGAGAGAAAGCAGTAGCAACTAATACATCCTTGGGTTCTATATTCATTTTCTGGGACTGTCATAACAAACCACAGACCAAGTGGCTTAAGCAGCAGAACTGTCACCTTCCATTGGAGAGGAACAAAGTCTGAGATCACAGTATTACATCAGTAGGTTTCCTCCAAAGGACTCTGTTCTTGGTTTGTCAGTTTTTCCCTTGTCCGTGTGTGTGTGTGTGTGTGTGTGTGTGTGTGTGTGCGCGTGCGTACCTGCCTGCCTGCCTGCCTGTCTTTCTTGTGTGTCTGTGTGTGCAAGCACACGAGTGCGCAGATGCCAGTTGAAACCAAAAGTGGTCAGTTTCCTGGAACTGGAGTGATGGAAGGTCGTGAGATGCCTGACATGGTGCTAGCAACTAAACTCTAGTCCTCTGGGAATTCAGGAAAAAGCAAGAAGGGAGTCCCTCTTCAGAAATACAGTCCTTGGGTCCGAAAGCAGGATGGTGGGTGACACTTAATGGTGCAGAGATACAAAGAATAGGACAGAAAGGGCCTACAGTCTGTCTGTGAAGGGTACCCTTGACATCTAGGAGGTATTTTGTTTTTCAAAATAATACTTTATTTATGGGGCTGGAGGAATGGCCTGGTGATTAAGAGCACTACCTGCTCTTGCAGAGGACCCTGGTTTGATTTCCACCATCCACTTGGTGCCTCTCAACCATTTATAACCCCAGTTCCAAGGAATCAGTTCCAAAGCACCTAGCACCCCCTTCTGGCCTCCACCAGCACTAGGCAGTCACGTGGTACACAGACAAAGCACTCAAATGCATGAAATACATACATAAAAATTTAAATAATAATAAAATATTTTATTTAGTGTTTATATATACATATAACACATTTCAGTCAAGTCCACCCTCTCTCATTCTAATTCTACTTCTACTCCCCCACCACTTTTCCCTCCCAACCAACTCCACTTGTTCACTGAGTCCTTTTACCGTATAGGAAGAGGTACTGGGATACAGTAGCATCTCAGGGGCCTCGTCCCTCAAGAAAACTTCTTCCCCCAACAGCCACCAGTTGCCAATAGCTTCCCAGACAAGAATTGGGACTTCACAAGCCCCTTTTCCAGCCATGCTAGGATTGGGCTGGCTTGATCTTCTGCAAGAATTAGGCTTGCTCGTGACATTTTCCAAACAAACTTTGTTGTTTCTCTCCAGATTCACTTCCTCCTTTGTGCCTGCCCAGCCCCCATAGCCATGTTCAATGGAATCTGCAATAATACTCAGATTGAATGGAGATGATTTGATGGATGCAGGGCCAAGAATTCCTTTATTCTAAGAATTTTTTGTTCCTCATTTGCATGGCAATTATTCAGATTCCTTGCCAACTACAATTTATTTTTGTTACAACAGTATTATTCTAATACAGCAATTCAGACATTAGATGGTATTAAAGCCAAGTTAAAATTTAGCCACAAACAACTTTGAAGTGTTTCTAAAATATTAATAATATCTATAATAACTTGATACTGTATTTTTATGTTTCTTGCCATCCAGGTAAAAATGAGATAAATAGACTCGACCCGTATATTCTAAGAATGCTCCTGGCTTCATCCCTTCTATGAACTTGTATTCCCATTCCGCATTGCCAAACTCTTCTTGCTCCTTTTTCCTCCTCTCTTCCTCTCAGAGTCCTAGATCATCAGATATATGGAGGAAAACACATGACTAGAAATATAATACGGGCAAATAACAAATACAGTTTACATGCATAGAAGTTCTCATTTATCCAAAGGAAAACATATTTTCTAGAGTTTAGAACTTATTTATGATCACCTTTCTTATAGATGTCTCTAAAGAAGAGCCAAAAATATTGAGACCTCCAAGACGACCCCGAAAACCCAAAACATTAAATAACCCTGAAGATTCTACATACTACTATTTACTGCATGTAAGTGGCTCATTCTTACAATCGAACTGAAGCCCAGTGGAAACTGTGGCTACATTAAAGCTGCCCCAGAAAGCCTTGCAACATGGCGGCCCTCCTGGGATTCCATTTTCACAGATAGCCCATTAAATGTCTCCTTTGTTTTACTCCATCCCTTTTCCTCATGGCCCTGGCTTCTCTTGTAGTCTTGGACATACCTTGTTCTCGCAGAAGCTTTCTCTGGTAGCCACTTATCTGAGCTTACATAAAATGTCAACCTAGGAAGGGAAATCCATCATGGAAAAGCCTTCCAAACAGAGATTTTAATGAGATGCTATTATGCAAGTAGAAAAAGAGAAGTGAACTTCTGTTGGTAGGGTGTATGGTCTCTGCTGGGCCTTCCTTCCTTCCCCTCATGTTCCTGTCCTTCATGCATGCCACTGCCATCACCTTGGTTTCCAAAGCCCAGAACTTAGTGGCTGTCCTGGGTCTTGCCCTCCCTCTTATACCTGACACCTATGCCAGTTCTATATTATACCTTCTAACTATCAGTTCTTCCTCCTTCTCTAACCACATAGAGTATCCCTAATTCTGACCATCATCATTTCTCAATCAAGACTGTTTCAGGCTTCCTCAACCTACACCAAAAAAGCCAACTCTAAACCATAAATTCAGCTATGTTGTTCTTCCTTCAAATGGCTCAGTTAACTCCAGCAAGAAATCCAGCCAAAATGCTTCTTCACTAGATATAGAGCTTCTGCCCATGTCAAGCTACCACAGTATATTGTTTAAACTCCCACAGTGAGCAGCATCCCCTCAGGCCCCAAGTCTTCCCCCACCCAAAGGATTCCTTTGACCCAAGGGTCCCTCCACTTCCAATACTTATTCAGGCTACATGCTGTATGCCACAGAAAGAAACAGAACTTCTCCATGCCCACAAGAACCCTTAGAATCTAAGAGTTCACTGGAAACAAGATGCACATGTCACAGACAGAAAAATGAAGCTTTCCAGTTAGATGGGTCAATTCTAGTCTTCCCCACACCTCTGGCGAATTCACCATGTTTTTGCATAATGCTTCTCTCCCTTGTGTTATTGCCCAGAATTCAAACTTACAACCTCTTCACCTTTAAGTTCCATAAAATAATAGCATTAGCTCTCATGACCTCAGTCACTGCTGAGTTGAGAATCATTATCCCTGGCTTAGATCACTCTTCTAGCTCCCAAACACAAATAGAAAACTACATAATGCTTATTAATCTACATGGATGTGCACACAGAGAGTTCCATATGTAGGTATATTTATTCATGTGTTGGGATGTCACATGTCATATAAATCACCCAGTAAGAATGCAACAAAATAGCTTTTAGTACAACCATTACCACAATCAATTCTACAAGATTTCTATTACTCCAAAATGAAACTCTCCCCATTATTAGTCACTTTCACAATCTGTTCCTGATTCAAATCCTAAGCAATCACTAATTGACTGTCAATTATGAATTTGCCTTTTACAGAATCCCATACAAACAGAATTGAATAGTATGGAATAGTTTTATAAGCTAGTAATCACTTATTCTGGTTCTTCTTTCTCATCCATCATTAAGATAATAAATATCATAAATTATGATTGCATATTATTATGTATTATATATTTTCAATTCCTCTATTCCCATTAGAAGTCAATCCAAGAAGAAAAACGGAGGCCAAGAAAAGACAGGTAATTATTTTTCTAAATTACAGCATCATTTTGTTCAAATAAAATGACAAATCTTTATGTTCAAATTTTATTACCAATTACATATATTTGGAAAGCAGCATGATCTCAACATGTATATATACTAAGTGTGAGGAATACATGGAACTTATAAATTAAACATACTGAGCCAGAACTATACAAAGCATCCACTAAGAACTCAAACATGATTTGAATGAATTACATCATTGGGATAAACTGCATTTCTCTGCCCGTTTAATAATGGTAATTAAGCAATCAAAACATTTCAGTATCCACAAACTTTCTTTTCCGTTTATTATATGGTTCTTTGATACACATTGAATGTCATATTTTATACTTCTATGGGTCATTAGGATGGCAAGGTCTTCACATGACTCCTTCCCCTATTAATATTGCAGTCTTTCAATACTTAAATAGTTTGACATTTTAATCTTATTGTCATGTCAAATAACTTTCAGATAATGCTAGGAACAGAAGGAGTGCTTATATTGAACATAAACAGAGATCCCTATTTACCACTTGGTAATACCAAAACAGTTGTCAGTTAAGGTTATGGATGAGAACACTTGAAAATGCTTTGTATATACTCACCAAGGCCAGTTTTCAGGACAGTTATCCATGAGCCTGGTATGAATGTGAATGTGGGCTGGCCAAACTGGACACCATTGTCACTAGCAATTCTAGAAACTACCAGTTCACATTAAATCAAACTTGATAAAAGCAAAAGGAGCCAGCCTAGCAGTTAATGTCCTATTTAAGGTAAGAGATGAGGGATGTTTTTAATTAACAGAATATACTCTTTTTACATTTCAAGATTCCTCCCATACATGTGGGCATGTCTGTGATGCTCTTAGTTTACAGTAAATAGCAAGAAGAAAATGCTTAGTTTGTAAGTCAAGTGAGAAGAAATTAGACTGATTGTGTAGCATGCTTATATGTTCATTCCCAGTCAAGGAAAATTACTAGGTTTGGAAGATTTCTATTACAAGGAATTTTTGCCCACTCATTCTGGACCAAAGGCGCATAGCTCTAATGTGAAAGAATGGAGACCACAGAAGGAGCACCAGGATCAATGCATGGAGGCTAATGAAAGGTAATAATGTACAGTCTGTATAATGTTCAATAATAAACTTTAAATGGAAATTCAAAAATTCCAAATTACACAATTTTGTTTTATATGTGCCATAATGATACTATATTTTCCTGAATATTTCATCTTATTAGTGATATATTGCTCAAAGTAATATCATTATATAAAGGCAGAAAGATCATACATTCTAGTTTTCCTAGGAAAGGCTCCCATTCACACCCCTTTTCTTAGTGTAGTTATTAACAATATCCCTTTAAAATGTGTCAATTTAAGTGATAAACTGCTATCCTAACTATAAGCAGCACAACATACTCATATCTGTATTGAGGTTTAAACAATGTAATTTTAATTACTTACAGGTGTGTAGAGACAGAGTCTCACCATTTAATTTTGCTAGCCTAGAATTCTGTTCAGACCAGGCTAACCTAGAAGTCACAGCAATCTACCTACCTCTGCCTCCCAAGTATTGGGATTAAAGGTGTATGCCACCATGACTGGCCTCACTTATTGGATTTTTAATTATGTTTCTAATTTTCAGAATCAGGGATGACAAACCAAAAACAATTTTGGAAAAAAAGAATTCATGAAAATAATAGGTGTCTTTTTTATCTTACCACTAATTTTGTGACATTAAGTAATTTATCTTGCAGCTTATATAAAACTTTAGGAATAATTTTCCTCTTTCCTCCAAAATTCATTGAGCAGTTTTGAAACTAGGGGTGCATAATAAAATTTAAGCATGGTACATGAGAAATAAGAGCATTAACAGGCAACTGGGAGCTGATTGGAAATCCTTAGCCAGCATCCTGTTAGGCTAGGGTACCCAGAATCACTCACTCTTCTCTTTTGCAGTATGCAATTATGGTTAGAGAGGAGAATTCTTGAAGTCCAAATGTCTGGAGTTTGGACCCTGATTGAGCCACTTGAGAAGCTTTGTTTGTGTTTCTGAGCTCTTAATTCCCACAGAGGAATCTTCAAAATTCCTACCTCACTATCTTGTTACAGAGATTAAGTGAAATGACAATCTGTTTAGCACACTATGTACATAGAAGAGGATTTCTATAAATACTGATGGCTATTATTATCCACCTTCGTTTGCTCTTTCTAACTCTACCTGAAGTATGATCTGTAAACCCTTGTCTCCAAAAACAGATGCATTGTCTCATTGTTGAACTAAAAACTATAACCTGACCACACTTGGTGGGATTTTAGCAGAAGCACAGAATTTTGTGTGGGAGACTAGAACACAAGTGCCAGGGAGATGAAATGATTTGTTGCCTGTGGTCACAAACTGAGTGAAGGTTCCCCAACCCAGGGGTTTTCACACTCTGCTCAGTTGCTTTTCACTGATTTGCCTGCTTCCTATTGTAACAGTGGACTCTACTTCATCTCTAGTATATTCTTTCTCTTCCACCAACTGACAGATCCATGCCTACTGTGCATGCATTATATCCCAGAAACACTGCCTGCTTCCCAGCAACATCCATGGATGTGTATTTTGTGTCTACTAGAATACGAAGAGCCGGCATTGTCTGAGTGCTTACTTTGTTCTAGACACTATGCTGTTGTCTCATTGAACTGGTAAGACAGTTACTATTACTGCTCCATGCGGAGGTTAGGTCTCCAGAGGCTAGTAACTGTAGTCACCCACATGATGAGGTCAGAAAATTTGAACACAGGATTTTGTAACCTTAGATTCAGTGACTGTGACCATTGTTCAATATTGTCACTTTATGTAAACATTCTGGGGACTTAAAGAAATAGTGAAAATCAGGTCAACAAAGGTGTGGTCTTCATATCAGATGATCTTGAGGTTAGAGGAAAATAATATTCACTTAGCAATGCTGAACAAAGTTATCCAAGGGGGAGGACTTTTGCTAAGTAGACTGTGAAGGTAATTCACAGCAACAATGTGGTTAAGTCATTGAGATCCTGAATTGAAACAGAAAACAAATGCAAAAGGAGAATAGCTCTAAATTACATTTTGGAACAATTAGCAAAATTTGAGACTAAATTTTATGCCCAATTGAATTAATTCAGAAAGAATGTCTTTATGTGTATAAGAATATACCCACAGCTACTAACAGGTAGACACCAACTGTTTATGATATTGCTCAGTAAGGTTTGAGGAAGGGTGCACCAACAATAACAAACATAATACTTCATGGGTTTTTTAAACTGACAAATTAAAATTGATAAATTTAAAATAAATTTTAAAAACTAAATTGATAAATTAAAATCGTGTGCATTTGTGGTAATGAAAAGAATAATTTTAAAATATGTTTACATGTGGAATAGCTAATTTAAACTGATTAAAATTTTCATTGCCTTAAAAATCTACATAAAGTAAATTTCAAGTGATCAATGTATTTCTAAGAGGCGGCGGCGGTTCTACCTTCTCCAGACTCTCCATCTTGGCTCCTTCTTACCACTTCCTCTTTCCTCCTTGTCTCTTAGTCCCTCCTATCTCCTTTCCTATTGGCCAACAGTGCTTTATTCATTAACCAGTATGAGAAACATATACAGAATAACATCTCCCATCAATTATGATCACAAAATAGATCTCTTAAATTTGTTCCTACCGATTGAAAATTTATGTTCTTTAATCAGTATGTTCCCAGCTCCGTCTCCAAGCCCTGTTGAGCACCCTCCTGTGAGTTTGACATTTTAGGCTGCACACATGAGTGGGGGTCCTGCAGAACTTCACAGACATTTGACTTAACATAATGTCCTCCAGGGTTATCCACATTACCACAACTGGAATTGTAAATCCTTCTTAAGGCTGAATGATACCTCACGGAGTGTAACAACTACATGTTTATTCATTCATCCGTTGATGGACACATGGCTTGATTGCATATCTTGGGTGTTGTGAATAATGCGGCAGTGAGCATTTGACTATAGATCTCTCTCAAAATACTCACTCCATTTCCTTTGCTGATGTACCTGGTAGTGAGCTTTGGGGATATCATTAATAACAGTTGGTAAATATGAAGGCATTTATGTTTCTGAAGGGTGTACTCACTGTCCTTTGTGATGGTTGTACCAATTTACATTCTCCCAACACTGTTAAAGGGGTTATGTTTCTTTAGATCCTCACCAGTACTCATCAGCATTTACATTTTGATAATAGGCAGGCATCCTACATAGTATGAGGTCATGTTTTATTGTGATTTTAAATTGTATTTCCTTGTTGATTAATAATGTTGATCCTTTTAAATTTTAAGATAAAATGTATACATTTATACAACAGAATTCACTTGACCATTTAAAAATGTCCAATTCAGTGGGTTTAATATATTCACATTATTGCATGCCCACCACTAACTTTAGGATGTGTTCATGGCTCCCCAAGGAAACCTAATGCCTACCAATATCACTACCCTTCCACTCCTGTTTCCTGGCAACCACTAATCAATTTGCTTTCTGTAGTTATTTAGAACATTTCCTGTAAATGGAAATACCCATGCGACCTGTTTGTTCTACCTACTTCCCTTAGAGTGTGATCTTTTTAATTTTCTGTGTATGTGCATCATATGCATTCGAGTTCTAGTATAGATGTGTCACAGTGTTCATGTTGCAGACAGAAAGCAACATTTGCAAGCTTTTTTTGCATTCTACCTTTGCCTCTTGATCTTACTGCTTGCTATACTACATACCCCAGGCTTCAGATCAGCTCTCCCAGGTGTACCTCCTTGGTACTGTAGGAGTGCAGGGATTGTAGATTCCCACCACTACAACTGGCTTTCTACAAGTTTCAGAGATCTGAGCTCAAGACATCAGGCTTGCGCAACAAACATTTTTACCCACTGAGTCATCTCTCTAACCTAACAAAATTATTTCAAATGTTCACTCTTTTAAAAATTTAGCAATCTGTTAAGGCTGCTGAACATGGAGATTCCCTAACCCTGTTTAGTGACTATATCATTTTAAGCAAACCAGTCCTCTTGTCAGACTGTTGGAAACTTGATTCTTTCTTATTTCTAGTCAGAATGGTACTGTATTGGTACTGGAACCCTTTGTTCCTAAAACGTGACAGTCACTCAGCCTTGCACTGAACACTTTTTGCATGTACATCTTAGATTATTTGCGTGCTTTCTTTTGAAAGGTGTCTCCAGGTCTTTTGCCACTTTTTAACCATTTCACTTATTTTTATTGAATCGTTTGAGTTCCTTGTATACTTTAGACATTGTCCCCTTTATCCGTTTTATCATTTGCAAATATTTCTTTCCCTTTAGTGAATTATTTCTTCACTGTTTTGATTCTTTTATTTGCTGTAATCCTATTTACCCACTTTTTGGTAAAATCTGATCTGTTTGTGCTTGTGTTTACACTTGTCACCTGTGATTTGGTGATGACATTCAAAATCCTCTGTCCAAACCAGTGTTGTAGATATTTTCCTCTATATTTTCTTCTAGCAGATTTGCTGTCTTGGATGGCAGTATTTAATCTTCTTGAATGGACTTCCATATATGCTGCGAAGTATCCAGTTTTCCCAACAACATATATTGAAGACATTGTCCTTTCCCTTCTATAAGCTCTTGGCATCTTAGTCAAACACAGTGAACTAAAAATGAATCTGTTTATTTATGAGCCCTCTATTCCATTTCCTTGGTCTGTGTATCTGTTTTTATGACAGTTTTTATGCTGTTTTGTTTGCTATCACTTTTTTGTAGGTTTTTGAACCACATAATGTTCTTTTTGTTCAAGATTGCTTTTAGGTCTCTTGTAGTACCAAATGAGTTATTTATATTTGTTTTTCCTATTCTGAAAAAAAGAAAGAAAGAAAGAAACTAAAATCCCAGCACTCAGGGGGCAGAGGCAGTCAGATCTCTGAGTTCAAGGCCAGCCTGGTCTACAGTGCAGGGAGGAATAGGATCACCTGGTCTAAGTAGAGGAACCCTGTCTGGGGATAAAAAAAAAAAAAAAAAAAAAATGAAGCCTTGAGAAGCCAACAGAGCAAGGAGTGCCTGTGCCCCTGCTAGAGTGATTAGTCAGATGGAGGCAGTATTTAAAAGTCCAGAAGGTGCAATGCCATCCATTGGGGTGGGGGGATGGGAGGGGAGGGTGGTCAGGGTGCATGTGAGGGACAGAGAGGGTAAGAGGGAGAGAGGGAGGAAAGGAGGAAGGGAGGGAGGGGGAACTGGGATCGACATGTAAAACAATAAATTAAAAAACAAAAAGTTCAGAAGGTGAGCTGGGCAGTGATGGCACTTGACTTTAATCCCAGCATTTAGGAGGCAGAGGCAGGAGGATCTCTGAGTTCGAGGCCATCCTGGTCTGCCAGGACTACACAGAGAACCCTTGTCTGGAAAAACAAGAAAAGAAAATAAACAAAAATCCAGAAGGTGGACATGTATTTATATACCTTGAATCTTCCTGTTTGGTAAAAGTATTTAAAAAATTAAATAAGGCACATTCTAGAATAAGCATTTCTTTATTAGCTGTGAATTATTGTTCCAAACAAAGCCTGCCTCTGTGATATGCTCTCATCTGAACACAAAAGCCACTAGTTTCAACTCTGCAAAACTGAAGAACATTTTTACAGACAGCTACGTTGAGTCATTTAGCCTAGGATTTTGATTGTATCTTAAATGTCTATGGTTGGTGGACAGCTCAAGGAACAGGAGCACCTAGCCCTAGGAGGGTTGGAGGAAATTCTCTGGCTGCTTTGAGCAGTTGCCATAGACTGAGAGAACCCTGTCTAACTTGCAGGTGCTGGACTGCCAAGGGCAGCGAGGAGATTTCAGCCAACCCCTATGACTACAGGAGGCTCCTGCGGAAAACCTCCCAGCGCCAGCGCCTGGTACAGCAGCTGTAGCACAGCTGTGGAGCCTTCAGAAAGTGCTGGCCCCTGAGATGCTACAAGGGCCAAAGCTACAGCGGGCAAACCCTCAAACTGGAACCCTCAGAACCCTCAGGCACCAAAGCCTTTGATAGCCTGCCAGCTCTGCTCTCAAATACTAGGGCCACCTCGAGGCCCTGACCCAAGAGAGAATAGACCCCTTTGGGAGTTCCAGATACTGGATCCCCAGACTACTCCCACCTGTCCATCACCCCCATTGCCCTAATGGCCCACATTATTCCTCTATCTGTGCCTGGGCCGTCACCACCCCTTTGCTTATTTTTAAACAAATTAAGCGATTTCTTCTTTCTTGAAAAGACTTTCCCAGGGCCAAAGGACAGCCATTCTTGGTTGTATATGCCAGAACAAAGGCAAGGTGGCAGTGGAAAGAACTCTGAAGGTGAACTCATCTCAAATTCGGGTTATCTCCTCTCTTGATTATTAATACTGCTAACACTGCTAAATAAAATCACCATCTTGGCAAGTGAGTTTTACAAGGGTGTTTCTGCCTTGTACCTTGGGGGCCTCTGTCTCTGGTAATCAGCTAGGCTGGTGGCAGAAACTGAGATGACTTCTGTCTTCAGCAGCAAATTCCCAGCCCCAGTTACCCTCAAGCACAGTGTACCTTAAACTGTATTTAGAATTCCGGAGGGACCTCCAGTCCCACACTGGCTCTGGCTCAAATAGCCTTCTCGGTGGCGGCCAAGCCTCACTGCCACTGGCCCTCGCATTGGGGACTGTCAAATGGTAAGATCTCTTACTGAGAAAATTTGAAGTACCCTCCCCTCACTGGAAGCTGACCACACAAAAGTGGGCAAAAAGGTAGTGGGTGGTAGGCAATTTCCTCAATACTTGACTTATCAAAAATAAGAAACAAACAAACAAAAAAAGCTCCAGATTAACCCATCCATGTAAGACACCTTCCAGGTCCACACCACCCAGAGTGGGTAAAGAAGGTGCAGGCAGGGTTCCAGGGAGGACTAGGTGGCAGCGCTGATAACATTTGTGTCCGTGTCCGGGAGTTGTCATGGTCTCTACAGAATTAGCCTCTAAAACTCGCAGACTAGGCTGTGCAGCTGGTGAACATCTTACAAATGGAGTCCGGGCGGAGGAGAGGCCTCCTACCGTGACGGGGCCAAGCCCCAAATCCAATTGCGCTCTGTTCCTTCCCTAGTTAGCTCCACTCCGGTTTGGAGTCCGACAAACAGGCTGGACAGAGGAGTCATCCTAATAGTGACGACCCATGAATCGATTGTCAGGACTTGTACCTGGCACAAGAAACCAGGCTGGCAGGGCTCCGGGAGGCGGGAGTAGGGTACCCTGTGCTGGCTAGGCTTCCTGTGGCTCCAGCGCCCCACCTGGAGCAGGTGCTGGCTGTAGGGAGGAACCCTGCTTCTAAGCCTGCAGACCCATCATTCAGTCCTAGCTTCCAGTGGCCCCCAATACTAGAGTCCTCCCAAGAGTATTTGCAAATGCATATTAACTTCTGGGTAAAGAGGCGACAAACACCTCTACCCCAGGTCCCTGAACTCCAGGTTAAGACTGGAAAGGGAAGTAGCCAGACCTTGGTGGAAGATTGCAATGTCTTAGTTGTTTTCATCCCCCCTTTCTTTTCATCTATACTTTCTCAGTTTCTCAACATTTAAGCACCAAAAGGACATGGGGAAAATTTGTACCAAGTACCCTTCTTTGGCCCAATCTGCCACGGGTTTTTTGGGTGCACTGCAGGCAAGAAATGGGTTGTCCTGGGACACCTTCCTGTGGTCTGTGCAGATGTGGTGCGGGTCTCCCACAGTAGAAGAGAAGCCTCGGAAAGCCTTCCTCCGGGTAGCAGCCTTCCCATCCCAGTCTGGGCTGCCTCCTTTGTCAACTAATGGCTGTAATTATTACCTCCCTGTGCTCTTTTGTTGTCGCCAACCAGAGCAAAAGGGGAGAGGGGGAGATGGGCTCTTTGGGAAAATGAAAGAAATTTACGAAGCAAATTGCTGTCCAGGAAGGGATAGATTTTTAAAAGACAAACCTAGTCCCACCTGCATCTGAAGTGGGGAATAGCAAAAAAGGATTTCTTTTATTGTAAATACCACCATTTGATTTAAAAACATGCAGGGCTGAGAGCTTTAATTGCGTTTAAACGGCGCCGCTTTAAGTCACTATTTTTGAAGAAATTAAATTCAAATATTGAGATTCTTTTTGTTTTCGGGAAGGTGGGTGCGTTCGTGTGTGTGTGTGTGTGTGTGTGTGTGTGTGTGTGTGTGTGTGTGTGTGTGTGTGTTTATGAACCTTTCTATTTCGGACCACTCATCCATAGTAAAAAAGCTTCATCCGGAGCCAGCTGGCTTGAAGCAAATTATTTGCAGGATTTGGTATGGATCTAAACAAAGAACCAGGCTCTGTGAGTCATATCAGCAAGGCTTGATGGAGCAAGTGCCCAGCAGACATTGGATCCAAGGTCCCTGAATTCCAGGAGCTGTTGACTCTGCCAGATGAAGTGACTGAGAGTGCCCTAAAGACTGGTCAAACTGAGGCCTAGGGTCAAGTTTACAGCCTTGCTTGACCATGCCCCTGCTTGCTTCTCGCATTGGGCAGCACCCAACAGAGCCAGATGCCACCCTGGATCCTGCGGCCTCAGCGGGTGTGGGCGATCACTAGCTAGATACTTCATGGGTTCTGGCTTGGGGCATATGAGAAAAAGGAGCTTTGTGGAGAGAGTGCACTTGGAGACCCAAGGCTTGGGCGTCTGCACAGCCACCCGAAATCTCTAACAAAATAAGTCATTCTGGTCGCCAAGACTGAAGGCTCTAGGTCCCTGCTCTGGCAACAGCATTGGTGCTTCGTTTAAAAACTCAGAGAAGGAACGAGGAGCTACTGAGACTATGGGAAGGGCTGACATTAGCCCTGAACACGCAGAGAAGGCGATTGCAAAGGGGTGAAACCAACACTTCCCTGCCTGTCTTTCTTGAGCTCCCTGTGAGCCTGAGGAGCCATGGTTAGAGTGTAGGCAGGAGTGAACTCCGAGGGCCCCAAGCCCTCCAGGAGCCGCCCCTGTTTAAGAGCCGTTAGGGAAAAGAAAACAAAAAGGATTGCTTCATTTCTCTTTTAGGAAAAGCAGAGCCACTGCTCCCTGGCCCTGGGGGTTGTCGATTTTATGTTCCTAGGCTCTCCCCGGCCTTAAGGGTTCCTTTTGGGAAGGGGCCATTGGTTTGAGTTCCCGGAAAAGAGGAGATGCCTTTTCTCCTGGGATTTGGAAAGTCTGATTTGCTTACTTGGAAACCCCCTGTACTCCTCCTACACCCCTCCTACGCACCCGCGTCCTGGAGTCACGCATGGGAGGCAGTAGGCTGTTTCACGCCTCTATGGGTCAAGGTCACCTAGTAACTGGATCCCCTCCCCCATCAACCATCAGTCTGTGGGCTGTGTTAGCTCTCCCCGCTCCTTTTCAAGAAGTTTCTGGTCGTTTTATTTATTTATTTAATTTTTCCCAGCCCGAGATCCTCAGTGATAGCCTCCAGCGTGGATTTTAATTGCTTCAATCAGCAGTCTTTCTCTTCAGCCGTCAGTCAAAATCTGGACCATGGGTCTTGGTACCCAGCGCATGACTGCGCAGGAACGGTGCCCACCCCCACCCCCCAAGCTGGCTCAACTCAGCAGGAAGACGTTAGGCTCTTCCACGAAGATGAAATGAATCCTTCGGCGTGTAGGCAGCCCACCTCCCTCCCCTCTAGGTACCTTCCCCATGCTCTGAAGTTGTGCCTGACTGCGGCCAGGTGGCCTGGGCTCTTGAGGTCACAGCGACCTCGGCGCCGGTTTAGAGAAATGCCCGCACGAGAACTGCCCGCACGAGAACTGCTTTTGCTCGGCCTCAGCCAGAGCCGGCCCTCAAACAATGAGCCAATCGATGCACTCCTAAAATCGGTCTCGGTCACCCTTCCAGTCTCGCCAAGGTCTCCCAGGTCTCTGGGTCACCAAGGGCAGCGCGCGGCGGGCTGCGGTAGCACCATGGACAGCGCCAGGAGTGCCTGTGGCTGGGTCAGCGCGGGGCCGGCACGCCTCCCTCCCTCCCCCGCAGCTGACTCGCGCTAGAACGCACAGCCTCGCACCTCACGATCCAGCCCCTCCATTTCGCCTCCGTCAGTCCCTCACCTCCCTACCGAGCTCCCTCTCCCTCAAAATCTCTTGGGCCCCGTCCACTTTCCAATCTCCAGACTGCGAGGATCCTGGCGACTTCCCCATTTAACCTCGGCGAACAGCAGAGCCGCGTCCCTACGCCCTGACTGGAACACACGCACGAGCACCGGCACACGCAGACAGCACGTTTCCTGCCCCTGTGTGACACCCACCTTCGTCGCGCGCGGACGCGCCAGTCCCCGCGCGTTGCCCTCCTCCCGCCACACACACACACTCACCACAGACGCACGCGCGCGCGTGCAGGGTCGAGCCAAAGGCAGCTCTCCCGCAGCCACTTCGGAGGCGACCGGCGCCAGTCTCGCAGAGCCCATGGCCTCTCCCGGCTCTGGCTTTTGGTCCTTCGGATCTGAAGATGGCTCTGGGGATCCCGAGAACCCTGGTACAGGTAGGACAATCGGACCTGCAGCGGGAGAGCTTTGGGGGAGGCTTGGGGTTTGCGGGACTACGCAGATAACCAAAGCTTTGACAGCTGCAACAGGAAACTTACTCTGGCGCTTCGCCCTGCTGCCCGGGTTTAGTCCTTAACTGTGAGAACCCCCAAACCTCCTCAGCCTTTTGTCCCCTAGGAAGAGACCCAGGGTGTCTCGGCCTCTTCCCCTAAGCATATAGAGCCCTGAAAGACCTCAGCGTCTGCAGAAGTCGACGGACTTCAAGGACCAGGGCTTTGCTTCTGGACCTCTAGACCCTGGGCAGCGAAGGAGTGGGGCAAAGAAAGGCAAAATGGGAAAGGGAGAGAGAGTTTAGGGTCTGGAAGGCAAGCAAGGGCTCAAGCCTGGGGTCTAGGAAAGGCA